GCAAATGGGGGGGGGGTTGTCGGAAATTTGAAAGTTTTGTCGGATATTTAGAGGGCTTCGTCCCCCCCCTCCCCCACCGGAAATAGTAAATTTCTGCCACTAAGTGTGCCATTCGTTTTACCATGCAGTCTGCATGAAGCTGCGTCCTATTAAAAACTTGGAATAGGTATTTCATCGGCTTTGGTAATTTGCCAATTAATTGTAATTAATTATTTGCCAAGGGAGAATTCCCTTTTCAAACCTCTGTATATGTAACACATTTTTACGAATAACACATCTTTGCATGGCATGCGTCCATTTTATAGACAAATTCCTTTAACTAATGCTATTTTTACGGCACTACCACTTAGGAGCGTTCTATTACACTTTGGGAAACATAGGACCAGACTACCGATCCAGGCTGAAGTGTATTCAATTATTGTGCCTCTGTAAGACAACTTACATCAAGAAATATGGGGTCAATATCGTTATAGATCTTGCTCAACTGGAGAAGGTACAGTTTGGGCAGGGTCGGGTAAAGTGAAATAGGGTAATATAATTATGTAATTTTCAGCAATGGTCATACACTGTGTAAGTATAATGGGCACTGTTTTTCCTGGAAGGATGCCTATAAATGTTGGTAATCTGCATGAAGATCTTTCTAATCTACGACTCATTATTTAGGAGGAAGGTCACAACTTTAATGTTAATGGAGAAATTAGAAATTTTCGTGGAACAATTGCTTATGTTTCCGGGGACAACCTTGGATCAAATTTCATGGGTGGATACAAGGAGAGTGCAAGTGCCCACAGAAATTGCCGACAATGCATGGGAAGTGAGGAAGATTACAAGTGCAAGGTATGGCATTGACAAATAACATGTCATATATTATAGTACCTATAGTAAGGTGAATGTTATAGACTAAAATTAGAAATAATATTTACCTGAACATCACCGAAAATATGATTAGTTTTATTGCGAGACGGGAGGCAGGTGAGGGAAAATATGTACAGTATTAAGTGTTTATACTGAGTGTATAGTGTAGATAATGTACATGTCGATGGTGATGTGATTATTGGGGAATAATCACCGAGACGAAGCCGAGGTGAATATTTCCCGATAATCACAGAGCCTGAGGCGAATAATTGTTTTAGTAATTTTACACAAGTCTTTTGTGTTTTTTTTTGGACGGACTTTATTTAGTTTCGCTTATTTCTTTATCCGTAATCTTCACAAAACGGCTATAGCTGCCATTTTGTAAATTTCAGTTTTGTTATATTCACCTGTGGGTGAGTATAACAGTTTAATACGTCAAATTTGACCAGTCAACTTGTAGGATTTGTTACATTCACTTGTGGAAAAATACTGACACCAAATATTAGTACTCCCTGTATCCCGTAAAGTGAAAATGATATAACCTATCTCAAGACATTGGACATACAATGCTATAGCATTTTTATGATTTTATCATTCGAGTGTCCATAATAGGAATTATAGCTAGGTTACACAACAGAGTACACCCGTTGATCAGTTGAATACAACTACTGTTAGCATACAAGAAACTGCAATGGTGCCTTCTTTTGTTGTCATAGTTTCACGAAAAGGAATTTGTCTTAAGAACACGACAAGATCATGATGCACAATGTCAACAAGTTGAATCTTACGGTGAACACTTCAGCAAAACATATGGGATAAATCGACGATCTATTCTAACACAGAGTGTATATTATCATGTAGCGGATGGTCTACCCC